TTTACGCCCCTAATAGACGAGAAAATTAACTTTGAAAATGATTGGAAAAAAGTGTCCGTTCGGGCGTTAAAGGGTTAAACAAACCGGAATCTCAACAATTCATACGAACAATTTGACTTGGCAGTGACACGGGCGAGCAGTAACGACAATCCTGAGTTCACAAATTCTTACGCTCGAGCGGACGGCACGCGTTCATCGACAGAAACAATGGCGTTACAGTTTGCCGGTACGACATCGGCCGAATCAAATCCGCGTAAATTTTCACACGCGATCCGCTCGAGACGCTCACAAAATATTACGCGATCGGTGGCTTTACAAGAAAATCGGAATGACGCTCGCCTCACCAAGATATTCCTCATCAGCCGCTTCCTTCAAAAGTCTGCACGAGAGCCGATAGCAGTGCTCGTCTTCGACGAATATTCTCGAAATTCCTGACAAGTTATGGGCGAGATCCTGCATCCTTTCTAGGAGTCCGTCACTGCACAAGTGCCGATCGGAAGTTTCCGCGGATTCACGCAGGCCGGCAGGCCCTCTCTTATCGGGCCTCTGCTTGCTCTAATTGGCTCGCCGCGACCGCGTGACCTCGCGACGAATCCCGCGGGTCCTTGCATGTCGCGTATCCTCCCATGATCGTTGTGGGTTACGGTGCTTCGACGGATGTCCTGCCTGTGAGTCCGTTCCCAGCTGACGTCTCTCTCCAAGGCGTCTGCAATGACGGTGCGATAATCCACCAAATAATAGCGACATTAGTAACAAATATGAAATAATACGACCTGCGTGTAACGCGCTTCTCATGACTTCAGCCAAACTCTTCATACAGCCATCTCTCGATCGTAGGAGGCGACGTCTTCTCTCTTCTAGCGATAGGTGAGGCGGCCGAACACAAGAATACAGCGTAGCCACCGGCTCTGATCGTGAATTACCGGCAAAATCCGAGCTCAGGTCGTCTTAATATTAACTAAAACTTAACTAAATAGCGACAAGAAGAAGAAAGAAAGAAAATAATACAATAATCGCAAAAAGAGAATAAAAATAAGCAAACAATAAATTGAATAAAGGCCAAATGACGGTCAAGCAAGATTTAGGTTGCTACAATAATGTGTGAATTTATTTACCACGTATGTAGTCTCCTTTAATCGCGCGCCGAAATATTTTCAGTCTTTAACAAACGCAACTCTAAATAACTACCGTAGTAATATCACTAGTTAAATTGACATGCAATTTAACGATATTTGATGCTTATAGCATCTTATTAGATCTTAATAATATGTTGAAAGACATATTAAAATTTAATATTAAAGTAATGATAAATTTAAAATCTGTGAAAAATAAGATTGCGAAGAATATCACAACATTTACATTACCTTACTGATGAGTCCAGTAGTGGAAGCCGGGACGAAACGCCAACTTGTGATATTCTTCGCAATCTTATTTTTCACAGATTTTAAATTTATCATTACTTTAATATTAAATTTTAATATATGTCTTTCAACATATTATTAAGATCTAATAAGATACTATAAGCATCAAATATCGTTAAATTGCATGTCAATTTAACTAGTGATATTACTACGGTAGTTATTTAGAGTTGCGTTTGTTAAAGACTGAAAATATTTTGGCGCGCGATTAAAGGAGACTACATACGTGGTAAATAAATTCACACATTATTGTAGCAACCTAAATCTTGCTTGACCGTCATTTGGCCTTTAATCTTTATTCAATTTATTGTTTGAAATTCCAACGGTCCTACAAATATTGTAATAATAAAAATAAGGGTAAATATCTAGAAAAGGGGAGCCCCCCCCCCGATGATCTTGACCTTGACATATGTTGTCAAGGTCATGACCCTGAGTAACCTCCCGCAGGTTTTAGGTGGCGGTCACTGTCCGTTAAAAAGTTATTAACAAAAAAAGTTTCAAAATTAACGTACCATTTCTCGGAAATTATACATATTAACGTATCATTTCTGCCATATATGTATTATAACAAGTACTATTTTACATCTCCTTCTGTTTAGAAACGTTAAACTTTCCACGCGAAGTAACTCTCACCTCCCCCAATCCCCTGCGAAGGGGCACACGACTTCTACGATTGTACTGTTGCTATGATAGTATTATCGGGGCAGACCTTTGTCGACGGTGTGGGTGCGGGGGGGGTGGCCGAAGGCCATATTAAAACTTCCTAACATCTCTCACCTTCATTCACATCTCCACCATTTTCGATTCACCATGCTCCCTCCCCCGCACCCACACCGTCACAGAAGTCTGCCCCGGCAGTACTATCATAGCAACAATACAATCGTAGAAGTCGTGTGCCCCTTCGCGGGGGGTTGGGGAAGGTGAGAGTTACTTCGCGTGGAAAGTTTAACGTTTCTAAACGAAAGGAGATGTAAAATAGTACTTGTTATAATACATATATGGCAGAAATGATACGTTAATATGTATAATTTCCGAGAAATGGTACGTTAATTTTGAAACTTTTTTTTGTTAATAACTTTTTAACGGACAGCGACCGCCACCTAAAACCTGCGGGAGGTCACTCAGGGTCATGACCTTGATACAACATATGTCAAGGTCAAAATCATCGGAGGGGACTCCCCTTTTCTAGATATTTACCAAAATAAGTAATACAATAATCGCAAGAAGGAAATAAAAATAAATTATAATGCCGCACATTCGCTTGTGAGCTCGCCCGTTAACCCTAAAGGACTCAGGATCTCGCATTATGCTGCTTTTCCGAGTGACTGACAAAATGTCACGTCACAGTTTATATGATAGTGTATGTATTAGTGCGTACGTATTATTTCCGCAAGTGTAATGCGCATGACGTATCATTTTTCATCTTTGTTTTTCATCGAATATTAAAGGATATAATGATACATCAAATAATAATGCACAAATAATAACAAATAATTGATTAAAATCGATTTCTTTATTCAAATTTGTATAAAAATTATTTCCGCAAGTGCAGAAATGTATTAGGCGAATAGTTACTATTGGATCCAATATTATTCAAACTATTGGAGTCCTAATAGTAACTATTGAAGCATCAATAGTAACTATTGGAGTCCTAATAGTAATTATTGAAGCATCAATAGTAACTACTGGAGTCTCAGTAGTAACTATTGGAGTCTCAGTAGTAACTACTGGAGTCTCAATAGTAACTACTGGAGTCTCAATAGTAACTACTGGAGTCTCAATAGTAACTACTGGAGTCTCAGTAGTAACTACTGGAACACCAATAGTAACTATTGATTCTTAACAGTTTTTTTCCGTAAGAGAAGGGTGTGGGGGAGGGAGTATGGTGAATCGAAAATGGTGGAGATGTAAATGAAAGGTGAGAGATGTTAGGAAGTTTTAATACGGCCTTGAATGCGGACAGAGAAGGAGACGTTTCTCAATTTTTCATTAAAATCATCACTTTTTGACTGCTTGTATCTCCAGAATGGCTTGACTGATTTTATATTTTTTTGGCTCAAATTACTCGTGGGGGTGCCACCTTTCAGGATATATAACGTTCGATTCAAAATTTTTTATATTTTAGTAGTTATGCACCCCCGAAAAATGGACTTTGGTGGCGCGGGATAAGAGACTTGTAGTGTCTTTCAGTTTTTGAACATGGCCGGAGACACTACCGCGTCTTCTGATATACACTGGTGAAAATAAAAATCGAAACCTAATGTAAGGGAAGAGTAACAAAAATATTAACGAATTTTCTAGGTAGCAAAACTGGAAACAGAACGTAAAAGAGACTTATTTTGATTTTTATTTTTGACAAGGTATATATGACTTTTATATTTGTATTAGATTTTAATAATTTGTGACTAGGTGAATATGACTTTTAGTTTTTGAATTTTTTAAACAATGTTAAAATTTATATTTTTATTAGGATCAAAGATGGAATAACAGATATGAAGTCTAAGTTTATATACAGATTCTCGAATTTTAGTATTATGAATTTATGTAATGACAGTTTAACTATGTAGATATATTGCTGTATCATTGAAAATGACACGATCGATGTCGAAACTTGTTTGATTTTGTTTTATTGTATTATCATATGAATTAAATTAATGTGTTAGATAAAATTGGCTCTACGCCCTATTTGCATTTTTATATTGTTTTATACATATAGAGCCTTCTTATTAATTTTTATAATTTTTGTAAAAGAGACTTTTGCGCTTTTTTAACATATTATTGTTGCAATTTTTATTTTCTAGAAACTTCGTTTATGCTTCTGTTATTCTCCCCTTTATTACATAAGTATATTCGGCTTATGCTTCAATTTCTATTTTCATCAGAGTATTAATGAAGCTTATATTTAAATCAACAGGACTGTTTACATCTACGAATATTTCATGCAAAAATTAATAACCTAAGACAATTTATAATTACAATACAATATTTTATTACATAATAAAATTACTATTAATAAAAACCTATGTAATAATATGATCATTTTGAGATCATTAATTTTCTTCACAAAAGCGCGACGATTTTTTATACAATTTAGTATTTATTCGCTATAAATATTATAAATTGATATACTTTGTCTTATCACCACATTAAATGCATAATAATTCTCATTAAAACACTTTCACAGATGTCTACATATATTGTAATAGATCATCTTGACCGCTAATATAAATTTATTTAAAACTGTTTTTATTTTATCTTTTTAACTGGTTCAAATCATGACATCCAGAGCATAAATCACGTAATGAAAAAACTTCATGTTTTCATTAAAACTTTTATGTAAATCTCTAAATATACATATGTAACATATGTATACATACATGCATGTATGAGTTTTTCATCAAATATCAGAATCAATGTTATTGCCATATTTGTAAATAGTTAAATACATGTATCAATATTATCGATCTACATATTGTAAGTAAAAAATAATTAAGATGTAAAACTGCAATGTAACGAAGGACAAAGGTTTTTCTTGCTATAGAATAAGATAGTTATCAATCAAGTTTTACAACTGCACCATTTTCAATAGCATTGACAAATTTGTGTGTTTTAATCCGATATGATCTATAAAGCAGTTTCTAATCTTTTTATTTCCTTAGAGATCTCTATTTTCCGTCTGATTTTGTCAAGTATCTCCTTCTCAGGATTTTTTAGAGCACCAGTTTTTATTTTATCCTCTAACACTTCTATTTCCCTAATTTTCTTACGAAGATTTTTTAATCTTTTTTGTGGATCAATTGTTTTCTGCATTGTGTTTAAATTGTCTTTAGTTACATTATTTGTTGTGGTTTGTTTTGCCGTAGACAGTGGCTTGTCAGTGTGAGTTAGAACTTCTTTATGAAATTCAGATTCTGAGATCATAATTTTGGACAATCCTTCGGCAACAGATTCCATAGATTTAGATTTATTTTTCTTTTTCTTCCTCTTGGATCCTTCTGAAGTTCTTGCTTGTATATTAGGTATTACTTTGTTTTTCGCCGCTAAAGCTTCTAGCTTAGCTTTATGTTCCGCTATAAATTCTGGGCTGGCACCCACAGGATATAAAGGCTTCTTTATCAATTGCTTTCCTTTACTTTCGTATCTGCAAAGAGAATAACAGAACAATAGAAATAAAACAAAGTTGGCAAATAATAATACAATTAACAATCGGTTCTGTAAATAAATCAATTAATGTAAAAAAGGGAGCATATATAAAACTCTTTTCTATAGTTCTTTGTGTATATCTATATTTGAAATTGTATATTTATAAATAATAATGAACGTTTCGACTATTATATTAGGTCATCCTCAATATTCTTAAATACATAATACAAAGTTAATTTAATCATTGTTTTGAATAACTAATCAATATTTCACAAAAAAGATAATTATTCCAAATCATGAAGTTGCAACTAAAATATGTAAATCATTACAAATTTCGTTCGTTTTTCTTCTCGTTTTTGTTTACACAAATAGTTCCTTTTGTTTCATTTCTACGTTCAACTTTACAGGAATACATAGAATTTGATGTTATTTAGTTATGCTGATAGTTTCTATATTATTCTGTAATGATCAGGGAATGGAAAGTTACTTTTTAAAAGTAACCAGTTACAGTTACTCGTTACCGAGTAAAAAAAGTAACGAGTTACCGTTATTAATTATCGCTTTTTAAAAGTAACTCGTTACAGTTACCGTTACTCGAAAGGTAACTTTTCGTTACTTTTCCGTTTTTAAAAATCAGTCTGAAAATGTACTTTTGCAGTATTTTTTAAACGTTTAAATAAAAGCAATATATATATTATATAATATATGTATATATATATATATATATACCATATAACAGTGTTATAACACTGATACTATGTACAGTTTTATTTTATTTTTTTTTTAAACACAATTTCGTAATTCTAAAACCCGTAAAATATGCAGCAAACTGAGATATACATACAGTCCGATGCATCACATAAAAGATAGAAGTGCAAAATAATTCCTGAAATAATAGTATATATTTCTCAGCTGTCAAAGATCACTTCAGGATCGCTACAGCAGTTGACAGCTAAAATATTTTAGAAATTTTTTTATACTTTATAGAAAACTAGAAGATTATATAGGATTGTATAGGACTATCTGAATCACAATATAAGTTAGAAAATAAAAGGAACATTAAGAAATACACATAATTTCTTTATTATAATACAGCTATATTTTTACTTAATCTATATTTTTAGTTGTAAATCAAATATTTTGATCAAATATTTTGACAAAATTTTGAAGAAAATTATAACACTATAATTAAAATATATAACAGAAGTTTTGCAAAAAGGAGTGTACAGAGAAAAATTTTATACACAGTTCAATTAGAACAAAATGTGTACAATGTTTAGATTAAATTAAACTAAATGTAGCTTGTATACTTGTGTTAAATAAAAACACTCAATGTCCTACAACCACATTTAGCTGTCGTAATTAATAACATTTAATTGTTATATAACAGAATGACATATGCAAAGTAACGGTAAAAGTAACTGTAAATTTTGTTACGTTATCCAAAAAATATAACTACGTTACAGTTACCAAAAAAGTAACTTGTAACTGTAATTTTGTTACAAGTAAGTAGTTACTTCCATTCCTTGATCATTATTATGTATGAAAGTTCATAATTCCATACATTTCAACCATCATGAATCGTCAGACTTATTATAGCGATCCAGATTGAAAATTGAGAACCATTTCATCGTTTATCAAGAATTGTTGAAGAATGTTACATTCCTGTAAAACTGAGCAGATAAATGAAGAATATAAAGGAACTATCTGTTTAAAGAAAAACGGTGAGTAGAAAAACAAAGTTTATAATGATTAATTTTAGTTACAACATTATGATTGGAATAATTATCTTTTTTGTGAAGTATTGATTAGTTATTCAAAACAATGATTAAATTAACGATTTTGTATTATGTATTTAAGAACGTTGAGACTAACCTAATGTGTGATGGTCAAAACGTTTATTATTATTATTTACAAATATATAATATAAAATATAGATACACACAAAGAACTAGTAAAGGCTTTTACGCACCCTTTTTTTACATTAATTAATTGGCAAATAATAAGTTAAGACATTAAAGAACACACATGATTACTTACAAAGGAACTTCTTCCTGAGGAATATATCCATCTTTGACACGTCGTTGCTTTCGCCATGTGCCATCGGGTCGTTGGCTTGCTGGAATAAATGTACCTGTGAAATAATAATTATACGTTTCAATCATAATTCTGCAATTTTGTCGATTACCTCTGCAAAATTTTATTAAATTAAAAATAATATATACAGTTAACGCGAGACAAAAATCCTAATATGGTAAAACACTTTGAGATATACTACGACGAAATACATGAAAATTATGAGGTTAATCGTCTAACTACATCTAAGCACGTGGGAAAAGAAACAATCTATTATCTTACAAAGCTAATAATTTTACACTTGTTTACACGACCGAGGTTAAAGCCGGTGCGTACCTCCAGATACACTTCACGACATAACGAGTATCTGGTCCTTACCCGTCTCGTCTTTGATGTAAGTCGACGCCATCGCAATTGCTCGTGAGAGCGCGCGTCTGTGAAAAATATAAATAAATGTAAAAAGAGAGATTCTTCGACTATCCGCGTGCCATTCTGCGTTGTTCCGTATCCGTATCGTACGGAGTTGTGTAGTTGTATTGATATTGTACGTGTATGGATTACGGAGTCCGAAATGGAGCAGAGAGCAGAGAGCAGAGCCCTCGAGCCTCGAGAATCTTTTCTGCTCCGATGGCATACGAATTTTGAGTATGAGCTCACCAGGTGTGCTGGCAGATGTCGCCCGCAATCCTATTCAGAAGAGTTTGGCCAAAGCGGGCACAACTCCACAACTTCTGATTGGTTCTCTACCTTGGTCCATTCGGTATTCTTCGGATAGCTTCGTACATTGTCGGAAAACGAGTTCGAAGAATAGAAAGAGACGGATAGTTCTAATTAGCCTTGTCTCAAAAAGGTTAGAAACTGTTCCAAGATCCCGGATAAAGAAAATTAATAAATTACAATTGAATAATTCAGCCAATTGATTAACTCGATTGGCCAATTTCTTCACTGAGACTTCAGGGCGATTTTTAACATCGTGGACATAAGGTGTTTGTTTATAACCATATCACCATATGGCCTACTGTTACCTATTTTCTGACACAGTGTCACGCTTTCTGCGTATGCGTAATACGAGAAAGAAAGCAATATCTGTTTCTATCCGCCATCTTTGGCCAAACTCTGATTATAGGATTTCTATATTCAGAGAGTTCAAGATCTCGGGGCCCATTAGCTCAGTTGGTCGGAGCATCGCGCTAATTTGTATCTGTGATGTCTCGTTGAATCTTTAGATTATAAAGTTTATTATAATGTTTATTATATTTCTATTCAGGTTGTAAATTAGTCTATTAAGTTTTCTCATATGTAAAATAGCTGTATTCCCTAAGGTTGGCCAACAAACTGTATCTTCTCTCTTCAAGATCTCGGGCAAGGCCCGAATTCGAATTTCATCCTAATTTATCGATATTCGCTCCGTATATTTCTAATTTCCTAGAGAACATTGGTTGCGTTTAGCAGAACGTTTATTTTGCAACTGTTGAAAGTTTTCTTTGTACTGCGATTGGATGACACTTTTAGATCTAGAAGAATGATCCTATCTCAGTAGACAATCATAAAACGATTGCAAAACTGTTTTCCTTCGTCCGAAATGCGTATATAAGTCGTCTAAGCTATTTTATGTTTCGATTTCAGACTTTGTCATTCGACGTGTATTTACTCAAGACAAAACGATTTAGCAGAAAAATGCGGCAATCTGTCTTGCAAAATCGATAAAATTTGAGACATCGTATCAATGATCGCGTTCGGCATTTATATTGGATAATCTAAAAGAATATATCAATAACAATGAGCACTCACGGATCCGCTCCGCAACAGTTGAGTCTGCTGAACGCGACTATTGTGAGCATGAGCTATGATCACGTATAAATTCTGTGGGCAAACAAGAAAAAAACACAAATTTTTTAATACTTTATTCTAGCACATACTGACATGAAATATTAAATATCTCGTAAACTATTAGTTTTTTTTTTAAATATCAATACATTATGATACTTTTATTTGAAGAACAAATACTTTTATATGAAGAACATATGTATAAATAAATCATGTATTTTTATTTAAAAAAGTGAAGATGATCTTTATATCTTTTCGGCGTCTTCACCTAGAAAAGCAAACAACGTGACTAAAATGCGTTTCTTTCGAAACTACTTTAATTTAGAACATTTTTTCGTATTATCAAAAATAAGCAAGATATTCAAAATGTTCGATTTAGGGCCAATTTCACGAACGTCGGTTAAAACTAACCAACAGTTAATTCCAATGGAATTATCCAATCGCATTTGTCTTTGACCAGAATGAACCAATCACGGTTGACACTTTAACCGTCTGTGACTATCCTGTGTGTGTGTGTGTGTGTGTGTGTGTAATATAATGAATTTGTCAATATTTTTTCTAAAAGTACATTATATATATTTAGATACGTATATTTTATAAAAATGTATTTAAAATACAATGAAATATACTTTATACAATTAAAAACACAATTAAAAAAACAATAATGTTTTATGATATTATATATTTCGAATAATATTAATATTTGAAGATATTTTAATACTAATAAAAAATTAAATTCAATCTTTAAAATATATAAGAGAAGAAAAGTTTCAAAAATTTTATTTGATAAATAATTTTGATCTTAAATTTTGTAAAGAGCATTTGGAATAAGGGTCAATAAGGAAACAAGAACACAGATACGGGTATCTCGACTTCGACTGAGTAAGCGGTCCCGAGGGCTACCCCTCGATCTAGCCGGGCTGCTTCCGGGGATGCTGCGCGCGCGCACCGGGGGTTGCGCTCTTCGCTCTCATCTCGCAGTTTCACAGCCTCCCTTTCGCGACCCGTGTCTACTGTGGCTCGATCATAGGTGTGTGTGCAGTTTCCCGTGTTTCGTTGTCCCCGGGTGCACTGGGACATCTGGTACTATCATTATCGTGGTCCCGGATCTCAGTTCCTGACGAATTCACTTGTTTCTCGCTCTGTCTCCGAATCGTGTACGATCCGAATGCATCGCTCTATGTTGGAAAATGGAAACTGTAATTGGTATGTAACCGCATAAGTGAATTCTTGCCGACCAATATCTCTGTGCGATGGTCGAATATTAACGTTTTGACTAAGGGGAAGTATAAGATTCTAGAATTGCAACCGGTTCCCATATGCGCTTTCTCATTCCCAACATTCTTTTAAAGGTCACTGGGTAATACATGAAAAAAAATGGAACCGCACAGCGCGTACCGTTCAATAGATATAAGTTCAAAGGCTCCTTATACTTTCTAAGGTCATACACGAGAACAATGCAGTGAATAAACTTAAAAAAAGTTTTCTGATTATGATGTTTGTTTGAGAGTTCTGGCTTATATAATCATTGAGCGGTTCTATGTAAAGTTCATGGTGGTCAATTAATGTAAATATATATTTTGTTGCACCGCATTTTGCATGAATTTACATGTGGTTTTGTTTCACTTACATACTTGATAGATGTAAAAATGTGGGAATGATTTGGGAAAAGCATTAAAACTATTTCACAAATCAATATATTTTGTTAAAATTTATTATTTAAATTACATTATTATTAGTTGATTTAAATCATAACACGAGTTCACAATATACCTATATTATACTTATATGTAGTTATATGATATAGCATTATTATTACTGTAATATAGATGTCTAAATAAATAAATAAAGAAAACATTAAAACTGATTTGCAAAAAAAATCTAAAAGATTATTTTTAAATTATATTATGTATTAAAAGTTTAAATCGTAACTACATGGATTGAAACATTGAAAGATGAAAAAGAATTATTAAAAAATTTATAGAATACAACACTAAAATAAAAGATAATAAACTAGAAGAAGAAAGCCATTTTACGGTCGAAGCTGGATCACAGTGCTTATTATAATTGTGTGCATTTTATATACTGCGTATGTAGTCCCCCCATAAATCGCGACGCTGATAGTTTTTCAGCATTGACGCATACATACTTACTTACCGCAGTAATATCACTTAATTAAATTGACAAGCAATCTAACAATTTTTGATGCTTATAGCATCTTATTGGATCTTATGATCTTAATAATATGTTGAAAGACATATATTAAATTTTAACGATGTAATGTTGAGGTAAAGATAAATCTATCTGTAAAAAATAATTCTTCTTCTAGTTTATTATTGTTTATCAATTGTACGGTCTTAAAAATATTCTAGTATTTCTAAAATAAAAGAAAATTTCAGATAATTATTAAACAGATTTAAACAAAAAATTAAAATTATATAATTTTGTTGTTATATATTAATAAAGCGCCCTATTTTACACTACTAATATATTTTTTAAGAAAAACAGAAATAAAATACAAGGAAATATCATGTATATAATACAAAATATTTGTATGTTTATCAATTTTTTAGAAAGCAACAATTTATTTCATTAGAAATTTAATGATGATTTGAATTCTAAATTAAAAAAACAAGGAAATTTTAGGATTTGAAAAGGATAAAGAGAATATTAAAATATGTATTATACAAAAAAAAGGATGAAGAGAATATTAAAATATTATACAAAAATAGAATAATATAATTTGTATGCACTTTTGCAATTAAAATTTGATTAAGGCACACCTGCAGAGAGAGAGAGAGAGAGAGTGTTGAAAATAAGAATAATAAATAAAAGCTTTGGTTTTTCATTCACTTTTTATTTTACATTTTTCCATTATTATATTGTCATCAACTTAAAAATTATAATATGTAGTTCAGTTGCAATGTGAGAATTGCATGATAATATACATATAGATATTATAGATAACGAATGAAAAATGTACATGGAAGCATAAAAACTACTTAGTTTTCAACTACTCAAGATAATTGTGTCAAGTATCTAATTTAGATTTTAAAGTAAATATTTTAATGACACGATCGCCTATTGTGAATGCCTCATGGTCGGTTAAGGATTAAAAACAAAAGAACCTAAGGAGAGTTTTATCACAATGCGTTAAGCGACTTCATCCGAACTGTGGTTTACGTCCTGGACCTTCCAGTCTCCTCCTCCTTCTTCTCCTCCAATTTCCTTTCCCATTATCCCTTTTTCATCGGACATTGCACTGATGCAGGCGAAATGTATGAGAAACTACTGCGCCAGAAGATGGCATCATCCGCGGAAGAAGAAGCTAATTTATGATCCGAACTACTTGTCCGCACCGGCACTATTCCTCCTATCTTTAGGATGCAATCTGTCGCGAAATAGAATTCCGGAAAACTTACGTAATTACTGCGGCATCTAGACTTCTTCTTGGCAATTTCTTCTTTACCGAAATTTTTGAGAACAATAGACTTATACTGAAAAGTGTAAAATGTCGAATGACGCCAAATATAAGAATAGTGAAAGAAGAGTTTAAGAATAAGAATATCATACCAGAATACGCACATATGTTCTTAATAAAATTTACGGATAAATGAAATTTTCTTATAGCGAAATTAAGGGATTAGACCTCTCCTGTTGCGGGATTCTCGAAATGTTTTTTCGATAATTTTTGTTATCGTTAATTAGCGACAGCCAATGAAAGCCGCGCTTTCTTTTAGAATTGTCCTGCCATTGGC